CGTTTTTCTGTTGTAAAACACCTTTCAAGGTAAGTTCTCATTTTTACTTCACCTATCCAACTTTAAGTAAGCTTATTGATTTTGGATGTTCTTACCTTGCAAATATGCTTTCCTCATGTGATTTCATTCCTTCAATCATTGCACCTCAAGAAAACAGTATCCTTACATTAAATTTGACAAATTTTCCACAACGACGCCATGAACTGAATCTGAATTAAGGCTTTCTCTTATCTTTCTCTATGTATTGTCATTCAAGTTCCTATTGTTTAACAGAGTTACCTCTGCTACTGTAGAAGTAGGAGTCCTTTGAATGTTAGAAATTTCCCAAACTGCCCTTCTTTTGTTATGGGTCCAAAGACAAAAAAAAGAAGAAAAGATAGAGAAAAATAAGAATTGTTCTGGGAAAGATATTGAATTGAAATGTTTTAATGATATCTGTCTTCTTGAGCTTTGGCTTATGTGATCGTACTTATCCAGCATTATGGACTTTTCTGTTATACCCCTCCCCCCCTCGAAAAAAATTTGAATATATTTCTTTTTGGGATTTGTTTGTGATCGTGCTTCTGTTGATATGGCATTAAAATATTAGTGCATCGTTGTTACTCTTCGCCCATTATCTTTTTCACCCTCTACACTGACTAGAATTCAAAAAGTCACAAGATAAGTCGTGACCAGATTTGACTTGAAAAAAAAATGACTTGATGCAACTGAAAAGTCAATGGATGTGTCTAGAAAATGACTGCATACGAATCCTTTGAGCATTTGGCTGTGCATAAACTTGTAAAACTTTAAACCGGCCTTTTTTTTTTTTTACTTAGTGTACTGTGTTCACATTTGAACATAACTAGGTACAACTTATGAAAAGTTATTCATGAAATTGTGCCTTAGCGTCTGTTACTGCAGGTTTTTGCACATGCACTACTAAATATATTGGTTTGGTGTGTGGATATGACTGGAAAACGACTGAATCTGAATGGTTGAGGAGCCCCTCCACACTGACTGGACAAAGTGCTGTACCCTATAGTCGTACAGACGTTAGAACAACACAGTTGCCCCTATTTTCATCACGCGTTTGAGCCAGTAGGTGTGCTGTTCTTTCGTCAAACGGACCATACTCCTCGACGGCTTGAACTAAAGACTAAACTCGTTTGTTCAAGTCGACAGTGAGGCGCAAGTAGGAGTCCTATGAATGTTCGAAATTTCTCAAACTGACCCTCTCTTGGTTGTGGGTCTAAAGGGGCCGTTCACAAATTACGTCATGCTCTTTTGGACCATTTTGTTGACCCCCCCCCCCCCTGGCCCCCATTGCCACAGTAAGTCACGATTTTGACTCACCCCACCCCCATCTGTGACGTCAAGGTTTTCCACATTGACTTATTGAATAGCGCGCCTCGTTTGAAACTATAGTGATTTGTGTTGTCACCGCGTGGAGTGGGTAACGGTGTGTGAGTCGTGACATGGATCTTTGCCCCCCCTCCCCTTTACCACCGTTGTCACAATTGGTCACACAGATTCGCCTACCACCCCCCTAAAAAGTGTGACGTAATTTGCAAACGGCCCCGAATGTGTGTGTGTGGGGGGGGGGGGGGTGCACCCGCGCTGCGTCCGCGCCCGGGGGAACGACCGCACCACGTCCACCTCGCACCGAGGCTCGGTCCCCCATGGGTGGGTGTTGAATACCTGATTAGATTAACCCACGGCGCGGGAGAGGAAAATTAACGAGTTCCTGATGGCACACCTACCATCTCCTGGGCCCTTTCCTCTCCCCCAAGGTTCACTCTGTCATTCAGTGCGACCGACGACAGCCATCCATCCCTCGTCATGAAAAAGTAAAACAACAAGAAACGCAAACAAACGAACGTATGACGCATCATGAAAAGAAAATGAGAAGTAGGCATCAGAGCGACGAGAAAAAGTTGTATCAACTACATCGGTTAGATGTGACGTCAGGCTCTTTCTACGAGACGCCGCTTTTTCGACAAGATTTTCATTAGTCGATTTCTCCTCTCTTTTTTTTTTTACGTTAGGTGCCATGGTGTCGTTTATATACCAGAAGGCTGGGAAGAATGAGACACCTGCAATGGTCGTTTCCGGTTGCTTTGGTATCGTCCAGAAAGTACGTCCTCTTTTCTGAGACTCATTCGGCAA